TCTACATCCTCTCATGCCGAAAGTAAGGAGGCATGTGTAGTCTCTTAGGCACCACCCTACTCCACTGACTGGATCATGATCAATCCAAGATGCATCGATATGGCATGTCGAGATTTGAGGATTCCCGGGAGATAAATCCTGTGAGTCGCCCTGTGGGCATAGATCTTCTTCTTTGATTAGCGATACTCCAACTCTCTGTCTCGAGAATTGCTGTCTGGAGAGTATACCGTGGGGATATTATTTTTTCATTGAACACCTTATTATTTCTGGTCTTATAGATATACTAGATGATCCAGGGGAAAGATTCCCTTTGAGACTCGGATAAACCGATCTCGTTTGTTTGTAAAAATTGAAAATTCATATTCCGGAATAAAGAAGTACTCTAGAAGACACCCGGAGAAGACGTGAAGTCCGATAATACCCAAACTTATAAGGCTGGCAGACATTCGAAAAGTAAATGAGAATTTAATCCTAGTTAAACATGCTAAAAATGAATCTTAAAATTTAACAGTCGTAGTCATAAAATACGGGAAAAAGCTAACAGAAAGTCAAGTCTAAATATTTCGAAAACTTGTTTAACTATCCAATGACGCTTAGAGACACATTTAAAATTAGAGACATTATCTAATCCTAACAATATTGTTGTTTTATATAATTTTATTTCTATTTTGATAAAGGTTCTACTAATTATGGCAAAATGTATAATTTATACGATATTAGTATATTTTTCAGAAATATCACAATTTTATTTCAGAATGCATTAAGGAAGAATCTTATTAAGTGAAAGAAGTCTTATACGTATTGTATTATGAAGTTATGTAATTCTGAAGTTTAAGGAATGAAACAAGTTTGCACACAAAAAAAAAAAAAGTCTTCTACGTTTTACTAAGTACATTTCTAAAGCACAAATGTAGTATTTTTGAAAGAAAAAAAAAATCTAAAGTATGGTATTTTAAAAAAATATAATATTATTAGATTTAATACTTTTCTAATACGTACATTTGATCTGCTATCCAGTAACTGTAATAAGAGAAGCGGCAAATCGAAGGTTGAATGTAATTTAACTTACAAGGCCAAGGCATCAATAAGGCTTTCTTCGTGCGGACCCAACTCTCGGCTACACAACAACATCTTATGATGTGACTTCTACATGTTTCAGTTGTGTACTGTCTTTCTATATGAATAGACCTTTTTCATTTATATAACTTAAAAGGTTTCTTTAATGTAATAACCATACTTTATTAACTTGTTCTACGTAGTAGCTTCAAATAATCTGAGATAATAGCACTTCCAAACAAAACTTGTTTGAAATGATCCATCCTACCAAAATTTTAAGCGCCACGAAAAATAATTTTTTTTATGTACCACAAATTTAAATCAATAATGGCTTGTTGATAATGATATTTTGTATAAACGCTGATAGATATTTGGTCCAGTATACGCTTGTGTGGTAGTTAGTTGCCAATTTCACCTTAGCCATAAATTAAAATAGAATTGGACTATACAGAAAAATGCTACATAAATTGGTAGGGACAATTACGATTCACGTTCACATATTACTTGGTTCATTGTCCTTATTGTAACTGGCTGTCTAGCCTTTTTTATTTTGAAATCCCAATTTTGTAACTCTAATTCTTTAAAATAATTTAGTCGTTTAAAATGTTGTACGAATCAAATTTGAACTTTCTCTTTTAATGAAGCTCTCCTTAATTGAAGGTGAACACTCGATCT